CCCCCCCCGCCCTTTCCATAGTATATTCGTGTTATGTGGGACCTTTTTTGTTGTTGATGGCCGTATTCCCAGCGCTCCTAGCACGATGCCTGGCACATAGTTGGACCCAAATATTAATCTGAGATCCAGCCCTCCTAGGGGGAAGGAGACCGAAACTGGCAGATGAGTGTAGCATTTAGAAACAAAATGACCTTGGTAATCATCTAAATAATTTAGTCACTACAGAGGCGGAAACTAAGATCCTAAAAGGTGAACTAACTCGCTTCTTATTATTGTGCGTTCCTCAATCATCACCTTTTCTCTGTGGATAATCAGTAGAAATGTGTTATTTCTGTGACGTGTCAAGTAGGAGCTAGGAATGAGCCATTAAGGGAACTCTTAACTCTGCTGTCCCTATTTCTCATCAAGGAGGAAAGATACTCCTAAGAAAGGGTCTATTTTCATGCAGTTTTTAAAGCATGTTGTATCTTTTGGGCATTAACAAATACTTTGTCGTTGTAAGATTTTATAATTTTTTTGTTATTAAGAAAAAGTCCAAAGGAGCATTGGACTTCAAAAATTCTTTACTGCAGTCAGTTTGCTGCAATTATGTCTTGATTCTTTAGTCCAGTCCTTAGTGCCTTTTCTCCAAGGAATTTGAAGTTTTTGTTTTTGTTTTTTTTTTAAAGGATGGTCAGCATTAACAAACTGGACCTCCTTTGGAAGCCTCAAGTCTGAACATTGTGGTACAGGAGGGCCTGGAAGCAAAGTCGATACTCTACCCCCTGCGTATTTGCTCTGTGCCTGTTAAAGGAATTTGGGAGAAGGCAAAGGGCCCAAGGACATCAACAAAAAAGGACAGTTTTAGAGCTAGAAGGAAACTCGGAGGCCCTGGAGTCCAACACTTCATCTCATCACTTACGGATGAGAAAAATAATGAACTCAGATCATATATTTGTCCCAGCTATTGGTCTTGTTTAAGAAGAATTGACTAAGGCATGCCCGGAGAACACAAGTTTACACCTTCAACCTGGAAAGGGGCTACTTGGAAATGGCTACAGAATGGTTTCAGAGGTACTTGATCCAAAAGGAAATGGAAATGCAGATTGCTTTGTACTCAGTGGCCTGGCAATATAGATCTTGATTGCTTTCTCCCCTCCTTTATAAGAGAAAACAACTCCCTGTTCAGCTTCTCTTGAGAGCTCTAATTTGTCTCAATGTTGTTGCTGCCCTGAGTTAACAAGTATTTTATCTTAGCCTAAATTATTTTGGTTGTAGAAGGCAAAAATAGCGATTGTGGTCCATATATTACATTTTTGTTTGTTGGTTTTTGGCCATGCCACACAGCATGTGGGATCTTAGTTCCCGCACCAGGGATCGAATGCGCACCCCCTGCATTGGAAGTGTAGGGTCTTAACCACTGGACCGTCAGGGAAGTCCCATACATCACATTAAAGTTTGTTTTATACATGAAGATTAATTAGAACTCTAGAGTAAGCTTTGCTAGGCTGACATGGCAAATCATTCTTAAAAACTCACCTTAAAATTGTCGTGGGGGCTTCCCTGGTGGCGCAGTGGTTGAGAGTCCGCCTGCAGATGCAGGGAACACGGGTTTGTGCCCCGGTCCGGGAGGATCCCACATGCCACGGAGCGGCTGGGGCCTGTGAGCCATGGCCGCTGAGCCTGCGCGTCCAGAGCCTGTGCTCCGCAACGGGAGAGGCCACAGCAGTGAGAGGCCCGCGTACCGCAGAAAAAAAAAAAATTGTGGTGGGTTGAGAAAGTAATTCTGATCTATGTTAAAAATCACATTCTCGTATTTCCTCCTAAAGGACAAGTCTAGAGAGAGCAAGAAGTAACACTGGATGGGGGAAAAAAAAACAGTTTAAACTTCTTTACCTGAATATATATCCATGACTTTAGGTGCCATTCCCTCTCCTCTTTATTTTTGCTGTTTACTGCGCTGTGACTTCTTTGCCAATTAAAATAGCTTCTCAGTCTGCACTGCCATCAGAGCGGTCTTCCTTAGTGTAGCTCTGACTGTGTCACTCTCCTTTTTGGAAATCTTGGATGCCTCTTCACTGCCCAGGCTATAGGTCAGATATTTCAGCACAGTGCACATCCCCCTGGCCCCCAAATGTGGTCCCAGACTGTTTATTTATTTATTTAAATTTTTTTAAAACAAATTTATTTATTTATTTATCTATGGCTGTGTTGGGTCTTCCTTGCTGTGCGTGCAGGCTTTCTCTAGTTGCGGCGAGCAGGGGCTACTCTCTGTTGCAGTGTGTCGGCTTCTCATTGCGGTGGCTTCTCTTGTTGCGGAGCACAGGCTGTAGGCATGCAGGCTTCAGTAGTTGTGGCTCACGGGCTGATAGAGCACAGGCTCAGTAGTTGTGACGCATGGGTTTAGTTGCTCCTCGGCATGTGGGATCTTCCCGGACCAGGGCTCAAATCCCGTGTCCCCAGCATTGGCGGGCAGATTTCTAACCACTGTGCCACCAGGGAAGTCCCACCAGACTATTTTTCCACTCTTGTCCCCCTTCCCCACACCCAAATGCACACACACACATCTGTGGAACTGCTTTCATTTATACTTTTGCTCCTGGTCTTCTCTCTGGAATGGCCTCTAATCCTTTGAAGGTTTCAGTTTTGTTAATACTTACCCCCAGGGAACTTTTTATCCATTTTCTTAATCAGAATTATTTTTTGTCTCTAATGCTTCCATAGTTTCACCACATTTTGCCTAGTGCCGGGGTTATTTGTTGACTGCTTCCCCCGCTGTAGTAAAAGTTCTATAAGAGCGTCTCACTTATTTCTGCCTTAATGCCCATTACAGTGTTTGATACAGCGTTTGTTGAACTGAGTTAGGCAGACCATCATTTGTAATTATCCTTTTATTCTTTTAATTCATAAGACTATTTGAATTAGGCTTTGAAGCCACAGTTGAAACCATATTTAACTGTGCTATTCGTGTTGCAGTGACTAGACAGTAAAAATCCCCGCTGAACCCTAATACTGTACATTGGTATTGCTTATTCAGAGCCTAGCATTTAATTAGTATGTACTAAATGAATATTTGTTGAATGTCATTGTGAAGAATACTATATTAAGAGGAAGTCAGGACATAAGGAAATATGAGAGAAAATCTTTGTCAGTATTTTATAGTTACAAGCTGCTTAAACAGCTCATCAAGCCAATTTATCATTAAAGCATTTCCTTATCTCTTCCTTTTGCAGTGGGGCAGGTGTCTTCCCCACTGATGGATAACACTGGAAGGTGTTAGGAGAATTTTTGACTTTCCTGAGGTCATGTAGCTAGTAAGTGATAGAACTTGGATTGGATTGGAATCCAGGTTTTTCCTTTACTAAATCTATGCCTGTTTTGAACTTTCTCCACAAGCAGGGACCAGCCCTTGGACGTATTTTGAGGGAGGTCAGTCGGACAGTGTATGAATAATACAGACCAAGAGAGGACGTTGCAGT